GATCACTAATTAATCACATCGAAGATGATGCTTGAGAAGATTTCAATTACGTCATAAATTACATATTCGAATTCTCATAAAAAATTTTATGTAAATATAATTTTGCTTGAGTACCATTAGTGTACCATTACGATCACTTGCTAATCACATCTAGATTGACGCTTGAGAACACCCTATATAAAAAATTTCTAACTTATTTTATTATGAAAACCTTAATAAAAATATAAATTAATACAATTATTTTTTGTATAACAAAATAAAAAAAATTTAAAAATAAATATCTTAAGACTTTAGTATAAATTATATCCAGCTTCGATATTAGTTCTTAACTCTAATTGTAATGTAAAATTTTATTTATTTAGTTATTTATTTTATTTTAATACGAAATATTTTGACTGCTATAGAACGCACCTATAGTGTTTTTACACCTATTATATACCTTTATTATATATCCTGCCTTTCCTGCAATAATAATAAAGGGCCTTATGGCAACTCCGCTTTGAATGTAAAAAAAAAAAAAAAAGGATCTTACAATAAAATAGAAAACTTAAAAACAATTCTAGTTACATTATATAAAATTTTTTTATTATTAATAATGTATACAAAAATTAACGAAATATTAAATCTAAAAACTATTTAGATAAAGTTTATTAATATTGTTCCAGAAGTCATATAACTTAAACGATATGTCTATAGGCTGTTATTATACATATGCTGAGTTTCTAGGATCAGATTGGATACCCATATTAGCACTTGGCATGATTAATATTCATGGAATAATCGCGCGGTATGACAGATAGACATTTCATAATCATACATATAATAAATATTCTTTAGCTGAATTTTGGGCAATAATTTTACAACCAATATTTTTACATTCATTTTACAACCAAGATTTATAACAAATACGATTACCCTATAGTGATAAATACATTTAGAAAATGAAGTTAATACATTGAATATATAAATTTTATTAAAAGAAAAAAAAAAATTACATACAAAATTTAAACCTATTAATTATTTCATTCCATAACATATTTTGCTCAATTGCTGCTCGACCATCAAGTACAGAAGAATTTTCTTGAGCTCTTCTTACCAAATATGGAATGACTTCGTTTACCTTGATAACACATTATTAAGTTTAATTTCAGAATATTTAAAATTTGTAATATATCAGAAAGTGCATCCTTTTTGTGCGATTTTTACTTACTTTTCCATATGGTATATATTTATAGACGGGATAATCAAGATGTCCGAGTGTATAGGTAATTTGATCACACATTCCTATATTATGAAAATTAAATTTAAAATCTCTGAATGTAAACATTATAAAAAATATATTTAACTATACGTACCATACAATTGAGCAAAATATACGGCACCAGAATTTAAATCAATTCCACATTGTTCTATCTTTTCACAAGCTTTAATTATAGTTTCTTCATTATGCGAAGCAATCACAAATTCCAGAGGGTTGTTTCTAACTTTTAAATGATGGCTGCTACCATTAACATTTTTAGCTACCAAATTTTTTTTATTTTCATACAATTCTCTTAATAAAAACTCAACAGCTCCATTATAAGATTTATTCGTATTTTCTATATTATCGTGTACAGGATCAGGGTAACCTGATTCATTGGCCATCAATCTTTCACTAAACATATAGGCACCGCGAACAAGTTTTGCTGCAAATACAGATTTATTTCTTCGTGATAATTCATAATCTCTCTGTAACCTTGAAATAGAATCTTTGAGATACATTTGAAGTGTATTAAATATGATTGGACCATCTTGAATATTGCTTTCATCAAGTAACTCGTTGTATTTTAAAGATAATCTCATTGCTATGTAATCGATTGCTGGTTGAAAATAAGTTTGTTCCGCATCTATTAATAATTTCACATTAAATTGACGTGCTGTTTCGCTTATTTGATCAGCCCTAGTCAATAATTGATTAAAATCATTAACCATTTTTTGATTGAACATTGAACTTTTGCTAATAATAAGCTGAATAATATCTTGATCATCTAACAAAATCTTATAGTAATCAATTCTATCAATTAATCTACCATCATTAGAGCCTGCTTTATCGAAAAATTTATCAATAAGACGTGTTTCACCTTCTCCAAAAATTTTAATAAAAAGTTTTTTTAATTCAGATTTTCCTAATTTCCCATCTCGATCATTATCGAATTGGCCAAAGACTTCGTTTAGAGAATTCAAAGTTAAAGATAAATTTTTTAAAATTTCAGGGTCCGAAAAACCAGTAATTTTAACAGCGATGAAATTGTTAGGTTGCCTTGATGCAGTTTTAATACAATTTAAATACTCATCAGTAATTTGATTGAATTTTTTGTCTTTTTCAGAGTCCGATAAAGATTTATCTTGATTTAAGTCAGTTTCAATCGAAGGACCAAGAATAGTTCCAATTTGTTGCTTTCTTAATTTAGTCATAGTGTCAAAGCATTCTTCATCAGTTTCGCCCCTGAAATATCACAATAATTATATTAAAGTATAAAAATTTATAACAAAACTTTGATATTTTTCTTACCCGCAAAATTGAATGAAAAAGGTTCTTTTCACGATCCAATAAAAAAGCCATGAAAGATGTAATTTTTCTGGTATCGTGATCAAGCTTGATGCATAATTTACTACCCATTTTATAGAAAGTAACTTATAGACAGTATAAGAACGGATTAATTCGCTTGTAGTCTTATCTCGAAAAGCAATATTATCTAAGAAGCAAAGATGATTAATTAGATTTCACCGAGAAAATATAAAATAAAGTTTGTCTACCTTCATAAAATGATATAACTTTATTAGTAGATTCTTTAGATGAAGAAGAGGTAAATTTATTTGAATCCATATTATGAATAGTTAAAAAACGTATTTGAGGTTTTTGAGAAAAGTTATTTCTTCTAATAGTGGTCCCTAATAGAACTTCGGTTTGCGTGAAATTCCCACTTAAAAATTGTCTTGTACTAAAATTTCTTTTAAATAAAGCTCTTCTAAGCATTATATTAATAATAGTCAATGATCGAATAAAAATAATTATATCATTAATGGAGATTTAACGTCGTTTAAATATTTAGTTAGTCCTATTTTAAAACATTGCATCTCACGTGGTTACTCGGAGCAGTTTAATAAACATTGCGATTATAGGATTTGCAACAACAATTAAATAACGTATTTCTATTGGTCAGTTTTTTACAACTTGCAGAATCGGAGGCGTAACTTATTGTTGGCCCGAAATATGTAATACGTCTTGTCAAAATTTTTTTCATAGAGATACGTTACACAAATCTGCACGATTACGTAAAATAGCAGTATTCGGGCAAAATTCTGAATTAAAATACGCATCCTGCATCCTGCGCATCTTGCGCATAAGCTATGCTGAATAATCAATTTTTATATTTTTATATCATAGCTGTGTAACGGTAGCCCATTTTCCCCCTTATAGGCCATTTATCATCACATAGAGTTAGGATTAGCATTTGATGAATTGCAGGTATATATTGTTGATAAATTGTCACCTGCGTGATGTCGGGTAAATGACTTGTAGAGGAAATGACAGTCGGAGAAATGAGACAACATAGTTAGTATGTTTGCTATATCGATAGCAAATTATGTTGATCAAAAAGAGACGAAGGAAAAGGTATTTGAGTAGCATCCAAACTCTAATTAAGCATTATATAATATTTTATTTATACAATCATTGACGTATGAAGAAACTGTTTTGCGAAACGTTTCATCGCATTATTCGTCTGACAAGCTTTATTGGTTCAACAAAATAACAGAATACATTCGACACTATATATTTAATAGGTATACAACTAAGGTCCGGTGTTGCATTACAGGAGCTGGTAGACTTTTTTTTTCCATTGATTTTCTCCGTCAACTCTATTGATTTCCGGAGGTTATAATTTTCATTGGTGATCTCGAATAAAGTGCCAAAGAAAATGTGTGCAATAGGGCGTTCTCAAGCACCTACCTCAATGGACTCAATGACGAATCTAATTGGTCTGTTTGATCAAACTGGTCAATCGTTTTTTATTGAATTCATTGAGGTAAGAACGCCGTAAACTAATTAATGGGAACTAATAATAATAATTATACATATAATTCTTCGTAGATTTAATGGCTCAATCCTATTTACCAAAGTCTCTTTAGTAAATACGAATTCTATAGTATCTTCCAAATAAAGAGTGTTTTTTATTTTGGAGATGATGCTGAAATTTGAAGTGAAAATTTTAAATTTTTTGAGATGTTTTTTTTTTAGTTTGGTTAGGATTTAGGGTTAAGGTTAGGTTTATAATAAAAGAGTATGTGTTGTTAAGGTTTTAATAGGATTATATTTTAAAATAGAGACCCAAATTTCAATACCATTCCTGACACTTATTAGGCTACTGATAATATCTCATGTAAAATATAAAGACTTGATATTTATGCAAGATTAAAAATTTTTTTTGAATCCTGTAGCTTAGTAATTTTCTTATCATTCGCCTGTTTTAAGAATCTTGATATAAGAATGTTGCCGGATTCAGTCAAACCTTTTTATATCAAGAGATTTTATAAATTTTTTAATTGGGACTTGCAAAATCTTTTTATATCGAGAGTTTCTTATATCGAAGGTTTCTGGTATTATTATACTAGTGTTAAGGGCGAAGTCGGCGAGTCTGTCGCTAAAAGACCAGAAATCTCGCGTAACGTCGGGGATAGGCTTTAATAGA